TGGCATCTGGCTGTGGATATACAGTACTGCATTTAATAAGGCAGTGGATGATCATAGGTTCGTCAATACAGTCAAAACAACTAAATAATAATTCTTTATTAGGTTTGAGCAAAGAAAACAGCTCCTTCAGATGAGTTAATGCTAAAGCTAAGAGTGGAGCTTATCAGAGCAATGTTAGATGCTGAGGAGAACATGTTAACATGAATTTAAAGGGGAACCCTACCAATTTTTCAGAAGTTTCACATAGTTACATGGTACATAGACCAATCATGCATAACATGACCACTCATTGTCCATTTTATCAGCTCCATTTACTATATAGGTGCACTTTGTAGTTCTACAGTTACAGACTGTAGTCCATCTGTTTCTCTGATACTTTATTAGCCCCCTTTTACCCTATTCTTCAGTGGTCAGGACCCCCATGGACCCTCACAGAGCAGGTATTATTTGTGTGGTGGATCATTCTCAGCACTGCAGTAACACTGACATGGTGGTGGTGTGTTAGTGTGTGTTGCGCTGGTCTGAGTGGATCAGACACAGCAGTGCTGCTGGAGTTTTTAAACACCTCGGTGTCACTGCTGGACTGAGAATAGTCCACCAACCAAAAATATCCAGCCAACAGCATCCTGTGACCACTGATGAAGGACTAGAGGATGACCAACACAAACTGTGCAGCAGCAGATGAGCTATCGTCTCTGACTTTACATCTACAAGGTAGACCGACAAGGTAAGAGTGTCTAATAGAGTGGACAGTGAGTGGACACAGTGTTTAAAAACTCCAGCAGCACTGCTGTGTCTGATCCACTCAGACCAGCGCAACACACACTAACACACCACCACCACGTCAGTGTCGCTGCAGTGCTGAGAATGATCCACCACCTAAATAGTACCTGCTCTGTGAGGGTCCGTGGGGGTCCTGACCACTGAAGAACAGGGTAAAAGGGGGCTAACAAAGTATGCAGAGAAACAGATGGACTACAGTCTGTAACTGTAGAACTACAAAGTGCTCCTATATAGTAAGTGGAGCTGATAAAGTGGACAATGAGCATAGAAACAAGGAGGTGGTCAGAATGTTATGCCTGATCGGTGTATTTACATAAGTCATTCAAAGAGGTTTGGTCTAAAACGCTCCGTTCTAGAGAAACTTAGTCCGAATTGCTCACAGTGGTGGTGATAGGAACCAAACGTCTGAAGAGTTTAATGCCTCTAAAAGCTCTCCTACAGAAAGTCATTACACAAAATGGTCATGAATTCACTCCCTGATGCCTGAGACACTGTTTCATGATAGTTTTGCGATAAAGTTTAGGCCTAAAACATCTTGTTGATCCATTTATATTAATCCATTCATGGCGAAGGGGTACATGCAGGCCGTTGTAAGGCAATACCGTCCCCAAAGAAGGTGTATTTTTTCAGATTTTCCAATATTTTATCATCATCAACATTACATATAAAAACTCAGATGACACGTGTAGGTTCACTGGTGGTTTTGGATAGTAAATAAATCACCACCACTATGCAAAAATGAGTCTGTAACTTTCCTTACAACAGACCATTCCAGATCAAACCACTCTGAATGACCTTGCTTACAACAGAATGATTGAATTATGTAGAAATTTTGAAGAAAAAAAAAAACAAAAAACGGTGGACTTCCCCTTTAACATTGTTTTGGAACATTATTCATTGTTAGAATACAGTTTTCCAGATAAAGCTTATTCTAGAATGAGTCTACAACTGTCTGTTAGAAGTTCTGACTTTGAGCTATGAGTTTGGTCTTCCACAGAGTTTAAAGGGGCAGTGTGTAATATTTAGTGGCACCTAGTGGTGAGGTTGCATATTGCAACCACCTAAATACCCCTCCCTTTCCAAATGTTTTCTGCTGTCATCCGTCACGATTTCGCTTTGCTTCTTCATGTTTTCGCTTCTTTGATGACGAGGATTCACACTCCCTTGCTTTTTTGTTGTGCTAAATAATAAGTATGATCCTGCATTAGTCAAATTTTTGGTTCTCAAACTTCTCACAACACAAAATGGTTAGCCAGCACTGGCAGCTGCATCACCGTAAAAACACAAAAGCTACTCTCTAGAGCCAGTGTTTGGTTTGTCTGGTCTAGAAACATGGCGGTCTCCATTGGAAGAGGAAAACAGTTGAGTAAATAGTTAAGTTACTCTCCTTCCTTCGCACCCAAATGTTACACCATACACCAATAAGGCAGTGTGTGTGTCTGATCCACTCGTACCAGCACAACACACACTAACACACCACCACCATGTCAGTGTTACTGCAGTGCTGAGAATGATCTACCACCCAAATAGTACCTGCTCTGTGAGGGTCCATGGGGGTCCTGACCACTGAAGAACAGGGTAAAAGGGGGCTAACAAAGTACGCAGAGAAACAGATGGACTACAGTCTGTAACTGTAGAACTACAAAGTGCACCTATATAGTAAGTGGAGCTGATAAAATGGACAATGAGCGTAGAAACAAGGAGGTGGTCAGAATGTTATGCCTGATCGGTGTATATTTGCACTGTAGACATCATGCCCCCTGGTTCCTACCACCACCATTGTAAAGAAATCTGAGTTGCTGAATTACTACATTTGTATGCTGAGATCTTAAGCAATGTTAACTAGTGTTTGTTTTGGTACACTGTTAGTAATAAAGGTTCTGTTCAGGTACATTTTTCATTCGTCAAGGTACAAACAGTGTAAATGTTCCCTCAAAGGTACAACAGTGGTTTTAAGGTCTGATTGTGAACCTTAAATAAGTTTGTCCAGGTGAAAAGTTTGTATTTGTACCTTTTCATAACCGAATGTTTTAAACAGAACAGTAAAATAAAAGCCTGGAGACGAGACGGGGTGTGTGGAGTCAGTACAGCTTAGAACATATCATTTCAGTGGAATATGGTTCAGTTATGTTCCCTGACTAAAGGTACTGAGATGGACCCTTGAGGGTTCCACCCCAGTGACAAGAGGGGAACTGACCCAGTGACAGTCTAGTACCTTAATAAAGCTTTTCAGTTTTATCTGAATCACAATGGTATTCTTTTTTTTTCTTTTTCTTTTTATTCTAGTAATGTACATGTAAATGTTGAGCTATTATCTATCCTACTGTAATTTCTGTGCGTGTATGTATGGTTATTTGCAATAAAAAAAAAAAAAGAAAGAAAGAAAGAAAAAAAAAGATGAGCTCCAAACATGGCGGCTCCCACTGCCACTCTTCACAATCAGAGTCCCCCAGCATAACAAACGCCCAAACAGCCCAAACACCTTCCCCAAACACGCTGCACTACATGTTATCTAAACTACCAGTAAAACTACTTCTATTTTCATTAGTAATGTTATCTGATGAAAATGGTAAAATCGTGCTAAATCTGTGGTTAAAAAATACTATTTTGTCTTACATGTGCATTTACCTCTCTGCTATGATTAGATTTTTAAAAATATATTTTTTAAGTTAAAACTTTATCCTAAAATGATTGGAAATTATGATTCATAACCATTTCATGCAGTATCATTTTAAGAGACATTAAACGCTTCAGACGCGTGATTCCTATCACCACCACTGTAAACAGCTCTGACAGTTTATTTAAAGGGGAATTCCGATGAAAAGATATACCACATTTTTTGCATAATTACATCGTTGTAATGTAAACAGACCCATACAGGGTGGCTTGGTGTCAAATGGTTAATTGTAAAGAAACTTACAGGCTCAGATCGCTTCACAGTGGTGCTGATAAGAACCAGGGGCCACGATGTCTCCAACACAAACATAGCCTTTTTATTTACTATCCAAAACCACCAGTCAAGCTACACATTCCTTAGTTTTATATGTAATGTTGATGTTAAAATTGTCATAAATTAAAAAAAAAAAAAAAAGTTTTCTTTGGGGTCTATTTGGACCTGCGCCCTGCGTGAACCCCTCTGCCATGAATGGATTAGAATAAATGGATGAACAGTAAGTTTTAGGCCAAAACTTTATCACAATACGATCGTTAAAAAAAGCATCAGGCAGCGTATTCAAAACCGTAAGGTGTAATAACTTTCTGTGAAGGAGATAAAAGGGTCATTCTACAGAAACGTCCACTTTTCTATCTCTCCATAGGAGTCACTGGTGTTACCGATCCTCATTGGTGTTACACATAATAAAGGGAACCCAGACATTTTTAATCAACAATGCATTTTACAAAATAACTGCTACGGAGCATCAAACCACATGTTGTCAATCTCCACTGAATATCCACTAAAATATGTAATTTAATCCATTTGTATTTGATTTTTTCACGATTGCCCAAGAATAAAGTCGGTTACACCAGTGACTTCAGCTAAAAGCTTCATATGAAATCATGAGCTAAATGAGAAAATCTCTGATAACTGAAAGACACGGTGGACTTTTCTTCATAGATCTTCAGAAAATAGATAAAAGCAAGTCGAGTGATGTCATCAGTGTGACTTTTATTTCAAAATAAGAGATTTTCTGTTACGCGATAAAACCGGTGACACGACTCCTGGAGCCCAGGACTTTCGTTACATATTTTATAATATTTATTAGCCATTTGTTTTCTTTATGTCATTTAATTTATATATTCCATAGTCATGTACAGATTATTGTAGTTAAAATTGCAGAAAAAATGTTCTCTTCTGTGGTGCTTGGAATTCTATATGATTGATTTAAAAACCAATATTGCTGAATTGACGGCTCAATAAAATGTAATCGTTAAAATAACTTGTTGTTTTATTTTAAAATTGTAAACCCTAACATGTTTTTCAAGTGTAATATGTCTGTAAACACCAGAGACACAAAAATGGACTTCATACGTCTGGTTCATGTCATCCACCATTGTTAACAATTCTGACTCCGTTCCTCTAAAACGGCTCATTTCACGTCAAACAACTCTAAATGAGTTTGTTTACATCGTTTAATAACGCGAAACGCACGAGACAAAAATGCTGGAATGTCCCTTTAAGGAGTAAAGGTGGGAACCAAATGTTGCGGCGACGGGAATGAGGGGAAGAGATGTAGCGGCGCTCACAAGGTGCGAACTTTTAGCAGGAGCCGATTGTCTGTTGCTTTGATTTTGCGGCTGATTTTTGCTGCTTTTTTAGACTTTTATTTTTAGGACCGCGGTGTTAAACGACTGCTCAGTTACTGCGGAGAGCCGAGCGCCTGGCTCACCGTCCTGTGTTGTGTAGAAGAGGCTGTACTGAAGCCAGTTAGCAGCGAGCTAACGCTACAGCCAACCTGACATGGAGAGAAACCCGCTGATCTAATCCTTTCGACGCTGACCGGATATCGATCACCTGTGTTTTCTTTCTTCTACTACATCGTCGAGACGGCTGGCTGAAAGGTAACGCTCGGTGGACGCATCTCTAGTTGAAAGCTGGTCAATACTAGGGTTTTAGTTAGCTAAATGCTAAGCTAACCAGCTAAAATAATAGGTGGCTCACTAACGTCAGCATTCGCTATCATAGCAACACCTGTTACCTTGCCAACTGGACAGATACCTCGCTTTGTAGCTACCTATGCAGGTCTGCCTGCTCTAATACATCTGTATGAGTCCTAAATGTAGCCTTTTATTTTATTCCATTAGCACTGAGACGTGAAATGACTCGCCTTTAGCTACTTAGCCAGCCTTCCTTCTCTGTAGAAGCTGTCAGGCATTACAGTTGTTGTTTACTCCTCACGCCCTGTGTTTGTTGTTTCGCTGTGAAATAACTAGAAAGATGATATAAAGCTTTAACCTCTTATTTTCCAGGGTATATTTCGGTTTTTCCATCTGAATTTACATGGCCAAATCGTAAGGCAAATTATTCAGTAACTGCGTGAAATAAATGCAAATTTCTATTTTATTTATTAGTTTATTCTTTGTAAAAGCTCCCCTCAGATTAACTGAAAATGTGTTTTATGATCACACACATGTTACTATGTGCTTACGATTTAGTGCCGAAAGCCGAAAATCTTAGACGCTCTTTGTATTATTTTATAAAAACAATTTTTACAGAGCAGATCACTGAAGAGATGCTATCTGTTTATAGTTTATAGCCCAGATTTGTGGAAAAATCAGTCAACTTTCAGCTTCTTTTATTATAAGGGTGTAAAATTACATCACCCATCTATTTGACTGGAAAGAAGACAGTTACAGCTCTCATACGACCCCCACCTTTTGAATGTGGCTTATGAAATATGAAAGTTATGAAGAATATGACACAGTGCGTTTTGGAACCACCGGTGGTTCCAAGGAGTTTAAGAGGATACTTCTTTTCTATTCTCTTAATAGGGATTCATGCCAGACTGGAAAGCAGTCACCACAGCGACATGAAAAGCAATGCACACATGACACTGTTTTCATGTCGCTTTACCTCTTTACTAAAAAAGAAATGCGTGAGGATTTGCATTTTAAAAACGAAATGCTGCATTGGTGTCAGAATTGAGTACAATCCGCTTTAAAAAGTAATAAAGGTACTTTTAAACAGATTTTCCTCATTGAAATGCAATCATAACAGTGGAAACATTGAAGTAACGTCATGTGTGCATTGCACTTTTCCATTGGTGACTTGCAGAGTATGTGCTAAAATGAAAAAAACCTTCACTACATTTTCATGTTCGACCTCTTTTTTGTGTGTCTTTAAAATGCAACCAGAAATGCACTTGCATTTAAAGGGACACGTGAAAAATGTGCCAAAATTAAAAGTAAAAGATCCATTATGTTGATGTAATGTCGTTTTGGGTACTGCAGTTCGGAAAGCAATGCAGTTGTGCCTTTGTTATATTTCAAGTCATAAAGTATTCAGTCCTGACATGAGGTCAGCATTTCATTTTTAAAATGCAAATCTTCATGCATTGTATCTCAGTACGGAGGTCAAGCGATGTGAAAACAGTGCAGCAGAGATTTTGTTTTTCATTTTGGCACATTCTGTATGTCGCTATGGAAAATGTGCATTGCATTTCACGTTTTTCAGCTGTGGTGATTGTTCTTCAATTTGGCACAAATTCCTTTCCTGAAATACGTCTGTTTATGGTTGCAAGAGCAAAACGTACAGATGTTAGATGTATTTTTGGCTTCCTTTTCTGAATACTTGGTCTGTTTTACAGGAATTGAACATAAACGGTCCTGATCTTTCCAATGGACGAAGAGAAGCCAGAGACGTTGGACTTTGTGAAGGACTTCCAGGAGTACCTTAGTCAGCAGACGCAACATGTCAACATGATATCAGGCTCTGTCAGCGGAGTGAAGGACACAGACGACATCCCGGAAGGTAACTCTTATATAGTGTATTGACAACATTCATTTATTCAAGCTCTGGTAAAAACAACCATTAAGTACAAGTTATTCATTTTTCAGCTGGGGGCAGAAAGTATACATTTAACAGATAACTGCGCAAAACCCTCAACAACTAGATATAAAATTTTCAGTATACAGCGTGTCCACAAGTGGTGGGGGGAAAATCGATTCTTAGACACATTGCGATGCGGACGTGGACGATTCTGAATTGATTCTCGTTGCAGGTTTAACGTTCCACAAGTGCTGCTTATAAATGCGAATAAGGCCTTTCGTCTCCAAATGTTCGTCTTAAATCTCTCTTTGCCTTTTCGTTAGATACTAACCAGGCGAGACTGCGTTGCTAAGTGACCTGCGGTCTGCACTCCAGTTCTCAGTCATTGAGAATCAGGGCTTTCGCACTATGATGCACACTTTGGAGCTGAGATACAGTGTCCAGTCTCGAAAATATTTTACTGACACAGCGATCCCTCCACTCTCTACAACAAGACCAAAACCGAAGTTACAAAAGCCAAAAAATATAAAAGGAAACGGGTAGGACGGCTGTAACGTGCTGAGTGGACATCCACTGCCACAGGATCTTATTTCACCGTAACAGCGCATTTTATCGAAGATGAGTGGCAGCAGCGTCTCATGTGCTCCAAACAAGAGCAGTGAATGAGAGCCTTCTAGTTCACTTGCCGCATCACTTCCATTTGTTTTATTAATAAAATATATTGGAAGTAAATTCATTATGGATCATTACAAATACTTTGCTTTAAAAGTACTAAGTCCTCATACAGTGAGAAAAAAGAAAGCCTGTATAAGAAAAAAAGATGCATCAAGATGCATCAATAATGGTTTTATAATCTCATCGCAGCCTCTGAATCGTTATCGAATCGTGAGCTGCCTAGAGATTCACACCCCTATTGTCCACGCTTTGCACTTTTAACAGGTTCCATTCTTTTAAGGAGACTTGCTTTCAGTTTTCTAAAATTTAATTAATTGTACTTAATTGTACTTTTCCACACCTCCAAAGTTGAGTCTTAGAAGGTTTCAGACCAATAGCATTGAGTTGTCTTCTCACAGTGAAAAGATGGACTGAAACCCCTACGGATTTTTTCGGATCTGATGCAGGAGTGTAGCTTGATTTTCTCCTCTCTCTCAAAGATGAAGGCATTAAGAACTGTTTATCTAATGGTGACCGTTCTAGTGGACTACTAGGTTTTTCATAGTTATTAAGAGTCCAGTTTTCTTTATATCTTTTTATCATTATTTGAACATTTTTGGAAGCTTCGTTTCTCTCCATTTATTTTTCTTTGACTTTCTCTTTCCTTATGCAGGTGTGTTATTTTAAGTCTAATCTCCTCAGAAATATCTCATTTTGGCATTTTGGGTGCAGATGAGCGAAATTTGTGAGGTCATCATGGTAAATCTGGGTGGATTCTTGTGTGATCTTTAGTGTGCAGCTTTTGTTGGGATGATGTAGCTGTAACTGGTGGGTTTTAATATGCAATATAAGATGGAAGAGTTAAAGTGACCGTAGGTGCACAAAAGTAAAGGATGAACAAATTAAATACTGATAGAGTTGATTTTATACTTGGTGTTCGAGGGTTCTGTGTGATTTTCTGTGACTGAATAAACGAAAGGGTGGTCAATTTTGCACAGCACTGTATGTTTGGCTTTTATGGTTGCCTATAAAAAAATTTAAAAAAAGAAGAGTTTTGTTTCCACCACATACATACATACACTGATCAGGCATAACATTATGACCACCTCCTTGTTTCTACGCTCATTGTCCATTTTATCAGCTCCACTTACTATATAGGTGCACTTTGTAGTTCTACAGTTACAGACTGTAGTCCATCTGTTTCTCTGCATACTTTGTTAGCCCCCTTTTACCCTATTCTTCAGTGGTCAGGACCCCTGTGGACCCTCACAGAGCAGGTACTATTTGGGTGGTGGATCATTCTCAGCACTGCAGTAACACTGATGTGGTGGTGGTGTGTTAGTGTGTGTTGTGCTGGTCTGAGTGGATCAGACACAGCAGTGCTGCTGGAGATTTTCAATTTGCATTTAACCACTCGCGTCGCTGATGCTCGGCCAAAAATACGCTCCAATCCATGAGCCAAAATCAAATGCATATTTTCACAATCATTTTATTTTACTGCAGCTCGTGGTGTAGAAACGAGAGCAAATAGTCTGTGAAGAGTGAGACGTTAAAACAGTTAGATTATGCTGACGACGTGCTGCTAGCAGACTCTGTTGATGAATTCCCTCATTTCATCACAGACAGTCTTCTCACCAGCAGCCAGGGTTCGTCTGGAAGCGGACCACAGTTCAACTGTCTGTTGCAGACCTGAATACAGGTGGAGTTTTCACAGATGTCAAAATGGAGCAAAGTAAAGAAAATTTTTGGGGGTGTATTTACAGAAACGATCTGGTGACTGTTGACTTTTAGTGTTTGTTAGCAGCGCTAGCCCCTTAGCTCCAGTGCTAAACTAAAGAAGCTAATTTGGACACCAAACATGGCTGTTCACAATATCTTTTAAATGTGATCTGTATGTGACATCAGTCTGAACAGATCAACTCCTAAACTGACCCACATGCGCAAAAGAACAGAGCGTCACTCTGCTTCACGGCTCATCCAGAGGTAAACAATCACGACTATGAACGATTGCCAGTCGCTCCCGGAGGATCAGCTTCATCTTCACCAGCATCACAGGAGCCATCATGAAGCTTCACTGACAGACAGCTGGGCTCATCACCCAGAATGAGTTTGAGCCATAAAAAGGGTGTTGTCACTTCTTTGTTTCGCGTCCTCGGATTTTTTAAACTTTGCTTTCAGACTTTTAACTGTTGAAATTATGACACATGTTATGTTGGATAGACGTAAAAGCCGTGTGAATTCCGATCTGGCTGTTGAGACGATTTACATTAAGATATGCAGAGCATATTTACAGTACAAACCTTGTCAGTCAACTATGAGGGCAAAAAGAGAACCACTGTAATCCGCATATGCATAGGGAAGTGTGGTAATGTGCATGCTGAGTCAGATAAGACAAGAAATCTTGGTGTAAATTGTAAAAATAGGAGTGGCTAGTCAGTTGATGCATGGTCGTCATGATGTGATGGAGTATTTACTGACATGGCAGCTTGCACAGGATTAATGTAGCCTGTTGTTATTTCCAATAAGAAATAGAGCATACTCATTAATGTTTAGTGAGCGTTCATATGAAAGGTATGCATTCATACTACTATTCATGGTAGTTTTGATTGTATGCAGTAGGATCACAAGTCCTGGTGTATCTGGGATAATAGTGATGTTTTTTGCCCTTTTAGGTCTTGGACAGAATGGCCTGGAGCACCCAGCAGTGGACATGTCCCTGGAAGATGGCTCAGGCATGTTGGTGGACGGCTTTGAGCGGACCTATGATGGGAAACTCAAGTGCCGCTATTGTAATTATGCCACCAGGGGCACTGCAAGGCTTATAGAGCACATACGTATTCACACAGGTAAGTAGCTCAATATTGCTCAGTATAATTTCAGTCAATACTGAAGTCAACTTTGTCACATTTACTTTTTTCACAATTGTGTTGCACTTCATTATTTTTGAATAAACAACCTTTCAATTTAATTTTCTAACTTTTAAGCCTATATTTCTTCAGACGTATAAATCTTTGAATCAACATAAGACTGGTTTTCAAAATCAGAAAAAAAAGAATATCGCTGTTGTCAGAAGAAAACCTCGTATCTCCAAAATGGTAACTTTACAGGAGAAGGAAAAAACCCACTTTACTTTTAATGTAAGTCAATGGAACCAGACTTTTTTTCAAGTAATCTTCAGTAATTTCTTAGTCCTTTCATCATGAAATTTACAAAAAATGTAAATGGTAACAGGTATTTTCAAATTATGTCAAAAACTGAAAAATGTAAAAAAGGAGAAAACGAGGTTTTCTTCTGACAGCAGCGATATAAAATTCTTAATGATGATGCAGGTTTGTTGTGACAGCAGCCAGTACTGCTTCACACGTCACGCAAGATTGAGAGAATAGTAAGAATAGTGATCGAGAATGGTGAGAATAGTAATCGCATTTAAAGCTGAGCATGTGTGTCCTTTGTATTTGGCTCTATAGCAAAGTGGATAAGTTGCTGGCTTTACACCTGTTAGACCCAGGTTTAAACCTGCCTCAGGGAAGCACAGCACTGCTATTATATTTAATATGGCTACTAATGCTGCATTCTCACCAATCTAAGTCACTCTTGCTCTGTGCACCTAATTTAGTTTATTCGCTGTGTCATCGCAGCTATTAACATTGTGCACCTTGTGGATTCTATTTTAAAAAATGGTTAATTGTGCAGCCCTACCATACAGAAAAGGCGATTAATGATGCTTTTGCCAAAAATGCAATCCTGGCAAATAAATTAATTGATTACACTCAAAATGTAGTTGGTTGTGGCAGCTTCTTTACCTTCACAAGTTACTAGCTACTGTACTTATGAACAAAGAATTGATGATTTGATGTATGAAAACCTCTGTGTCCTGCTCTCTCCTCCATCTTCTCAGGTGAGAAGCCCCATCGCTGTCACCTATGCCCTTTTGCCTCTGCTTACGAGCGCCACCTAGAGGCACACATGCGCTCTCACACGGGCGAGAAGCCCTATAAGTGTGAGCTGTGCTCCTTCCGCTGCAGTGACCGCAGTAACCTGTCCCACCACCGACGCCGCAGGCACAAGCTCCTGCCCATGAAGGGTGCCCGCTCCTCTCTGTCCCACCGTAAAATGCTCAGCGTGCTACAGAAGAGGGGCAGCTCGTTAGCCTATGGCCGCAGACTCCTCGTCGTCAACAACCCCATGTCCATGGTACTGCAGAAGCCCAGCTCTGAGCAGCACCACCTTGGTGAATTCAGTCATGAGCTCCCGCCCCACGCCCACCTCCACCAGGTAGGGATCGAAAAGGTCTGAAATTGAAGAAGCAGTCAGTATCTCTCTCTTCTCTCTCTTTCTCTTTCTTCCTCCCATCCACCCTTTTTCTCTGCTTTGTTAGTCCAGTTTTCTCTTTATCAGTGTTGCACACACAAGCAGCTTGAGTTTAAATTTCATCAGCTAGTAGGCAGTCAATGCATATACACTGATCAGGCATAACATTCTGACCACCTCCTTGTTTCTACGCTCATTGTCCATTTTATCAGCTCCACTTACTATATAGGTGCACTTTGTAGTTCTACAGTTACAGACTGTAGTCCATCTGTTTCTCTGCATACTTTGTTAGCCCCCTTTTACCAACCAAAAATATTCAGCCAACAACGTCCTGTGGGCAGCGTCCTGTGGGCAGCGTCCTGTGACCACTGATGAAGGACTAGAGCAGAGGTCACTAATAGGCGGACCGCGGTCCGAGTCCGGACCCAGACACTGTCCTATGTGGACCTGGGTCTATAACCGATAAACTAAGGAGAATTATTTAATTTCGACCTGGTTAGCATTAGCTTAGCTAGCATGATAACACCTCACAACAGAACGTTGATTCTGGTTAACCGTTTTAACCCCATGGGACCACCGGTGGTTCTAAAACACACTGTCATATTCTTCATAACTTTCATATTTCATAAGCTACATTCTAAAGGTGGGGGTCGTATGAGAGCTGTAACTGTCTTCTTTCCAGTCAAATAGATGGGTGATGTGATTTTAAACCCTTATAATAAAAGAAGCTGAACTTTCATTTTTTTTTGTCTACAGAAAGTCGACCCATTTTTCCACAAATCTGGGCTATAAACTATAAACAGATGGCGTCTCTTCAGTGATCTGCTCTGTAAAAATTATTTTTATAAAATAATACAAAGACCGTCTAAGATTTTTGGCTTTCAGCAGTAAATTGTAAGCAAATAGCAATAGCACGTTCTGTTAATTTGAGGGGAGCGTTTACACCAAAACAAAAAAAATAAAAATGTACATTTATTTCATGCAGTTACTGAATAATTTCCCTCACAGTTTGGTCATGTAAATTCAGATGGAAAAACCAAAATATACCCAGAAGCACCGACACAAGTTTAGATGATAACAGTTTAAATCTGAGGAACTAATATTGAGCAACTGGCGTTGGAGTGAGAGAAAGCCGAAATCAGACCTGGTCTGTGGTTTTCTTTAGCCTGATCAGCTAACTTGATGTTAGCTTAGCAAGCAGGCTACAGACCCAAACAGCGACAATCACTACAGCACAGGTACCACAACTGCTGCTCCGCTGAAGCAGTTGTAGATTATAAAAACTAATATCTGAGAAAGCAAAAGTCAAGTGAGCAGCGGTGGAGTTATAGAAACACAATCAAACCTGTTCTGTAGTGTAGGACTCGTTTTAGCTTAGCTAACGAAAGCTTAGTTAGCAGGCCAATTGTGCCACACACCACAGTACAGGCTTGGTTCCAGCTAACTGATGCTGAAATGAGACCCGTTTAGAAGATATCTGAGAGTGTGAAGTCGACTGGCTGGTGTTAAAGTGAAAGCGGAAATCGAGTGTGTTCTATGTAGTTGGTAGGTATTTTTCCTGCCTATGAATTTTTTTCCCTCTCCTTTCAGCACCACCTGTTGGTGACCTCCAACACCACCAATCAGTGAGCCGATCTAAAATATAAATAGGTTAAATGTGTTTATTTGGCAGTTAAAATCTGCCCTAGCAGTTTGATACATTATAGATTTGAAATATCATAATTTTTAAGTACTGTATACCTTGATGAGTATGACGGCGTTTTAGGGCCACTGAGAAAAAAGTTGTAATATTTCGAGAAAAAATTATTTCGTAGAATTATGACATTAAAGTGGCATTAATAGCAGGAAAGGTCGCAGTATTGTGGCCAATAGCTTTGCGAAGTGAAGGCAGCACCTCCTCGTGTTAAATGAGGGGCGGTGAGGAGTTTATTAAAGTTCTACTTTCATATCGATTCACCCATAAAGAAACACTCAGCCTCCCTGTCTCTCCTGCTCATCAGCACCAGCCTGTTATTAGTATAAGAACCGGCTGAAACGGCTGAGCAGGAAACTGTGTTTATCTAGAATAAAGAGCCAGACGGACTCGGAGGAAACTGTCTGTCTGTGTTGTTGAAGGAGAATCTCAGGCAGGGTCGTCTACACGGCTATCGGGGCTCCATCTCCACACCATTCAAAGAGGGCATGAAGTTTCACAGACAGTGAGAATGATGATCAAAATGATCCACAGAGAGACAGGAGTGAGTGGAGCTCCGGCGCCAATACAGCAACCGAGACCCCAGTGCATTATGGCAGCCCCCCTACAGTTAGCCCCCGTACAGTACAGCAGCCCCCCTACAGTTAGCACTTTATCCTCGAAATATTATGACTTTTTTCTCGAAATAGTACAACTTTTTTCTCAAATTTTATGACCTTTTTCTCAAAGTCTACTATTTTTATTTTTATTAACAGTGGTCCTAAAATGCCATCGTAGATGAGAGATGTTGTGCAGCTCTAAAAGAACCATTAAGCGTACTGAAATAAAATGTAACCATACCCATCCCTACCACCAGGAGACCTATGACGGACTGGTGAAAGACCCGCAGACCACGGCTGGAGGAAGCTCCAGGAACGAGCAGGACCTTGTTTTGGACAACCCGCTCAACCAGCTGTCCACGCTGGCCGGCCAGCTCGCTAGCCTCCCTCCCGAAGCTCAGGGGGCTCCAGTGTCACCAGGAGCCGAGTCTCTACCGGACGAGAAACCCACATACCTCGTGCAGCAGCCAGTGACGGCTCCGGCAGCTGTCTCGGCTAGCGTGGCCCAGGCGTCCTCCCCGATCACCCCGGAGCCGCGGCCGGCAGCGCATAGCGGCTGCAGCCCCGGTGTGGGCCCCTGCAGCGAGCGAACCAGCACCCCCAGCGGCACCAACAGCCAGCCAGGGACCCCCACCCCAGGCCAGGACCCCCAGCTGCTCCACCACTGCCCACATTGCCACATCTATTTTCCTGATAACATCCTTTACACCATCCACATGGGCTGCCATGGCTACGAGAACCCTTTCCAGTGCAACATCTGTGGGCACAGGTGCAGAAACAAGTATGACTTTGCCTGCCACTTTGCCCGAGGCCAGCACAAGACTGACTGACAGAGGTCCAGACAGCAGGACAGTACTGGCTGGGATTTGGCTCCTACCGTGTTCCCATTCGGCGCTACAGCAGGGATGTCCTCTCGGTGAGAAATGGGAACCTGCTCGGTATTTTTGTCTTCACTTTTACAAGAATTAAAGGACATGCATTTTATTTATTTTGCGACGATTTTTGTGGAAACTCTTTCAGACGAGACGGTGGGGCAGCTACTGGACACCGTGCCTATATCTCCCTGGTGTATTCAACAGACATAATCCTCTCATATTATGTGAATGCTAATAGTATTGAATTGAAACTTGTGGTCCATGAAGTGCTTTCGAGACATAGATTTAGGCCCATGAAAGGAGCAGGAACGCGCACTTGATAGTAGTTTTTGTTGAGAGTGTTGTTTGTGGGTATTAGTGCATTCCTTCTCATAAAGTACTCATGAATTTCAGTTATCCTGAGAGCGTCTGCATTGCTTTTGCCTCAACTCATTTTTATATGCTAGAGTTAGGTGAACAGTGCCTAAAAATAATTTCCATATAGCCTTGATCAAGATGGGAATGTTTATTACAGTTTGTGTGTGACATATTTGAAACAAATGCCCCCGGAGAGTAGCATATTCTGCTACAGTTTTGCTGTTTATGTAGATGTAGAAATGACTGCAAAATGCCTAAATGTTTAGCTCTTTTAATAAGAGTCACAAAAGTGAACATTTTATCACCTTTTTTCTCAGTGGAATACTTAAAGAGAGACACCCCTCAACCTTGGTGCCATTGCTTTACTGGTGGTTCTAGGAGACATTGCAGAAAGTTGTAATCTGATGATCTCATACCAGTGCGTCATTTTTTGCACCTTCAAACATGCACATCGGTGTATTTGGACCCGGCAGTAGGGCTACAACAAAAATATAACAGATTTCAATAATTTTAAAACAGTAAAGTCATTCAAATAATCGTGTTAGGGTTCAAATCTGAAGTGACCGTATATGTAGTGCAGTCGTTAAGATGTAAACATAATTATTCGAAGTGGTTTGATGTGAAATACTGCATTCTAGAGGAATTTAGCAAGTCAGAATTGCTCACAGTGGTGATGGGAACCAGACATCTGAAGCATTTAATGCTTCTTAAAGCTTCCTTGCGTAAAGTTATTACATGAAAATCGTTATGAAATCGTTTCCTGATGCTTGAGACTTTTTAACGGTAGGTTTCAGGCAATACACACACACACACACACACACACACACACACACACACACACACACACACACATTTGTCTTGCTATACGTATGAGGACGTCCATAGGTTTCTATTGATTTTTGTGTTACTTTAGCTAAATAATACTAAACCTGAACCTAAAACTAACCCTAACTTTAACCTCAGTATCCAAAAGGCAATTTTTCTGCTCTTTTAGTTTTCAAATAAAAAAAAAAAAGTCATTGTGGTGAACGCAGCACATGCTCAACTGAGGACCAGCAAAATGTCCTCAGTTGAGCAAAAATTTCATGTTTTCCTATCATAGTGAGGACATGGGATTCTCACAAGTATAGCACTGCAAGAACACACACACACACTTTCTAAACCGCTTATCCTTCTGGGTCGTGGGGGGTGCTGGAGCCTATCCCTGTGGCCGTTGGGCGAAGGCTGACAGGCAAAATAGTACTTCAAAAATAAATTTCAGATTCATCACTATTTAATATTATGAACATCCTAAAAATTCAGATATGTGTAGGTTAACTGGTGGTTTTTCATAGTAAATAAAACTATATTTGTGTTGTAGACATTGTAACCCCTGGTTCCTATCAGCACCACTGTAAAGAGTCAGTAAGTTTCTCTGCAGTGAAACATTTCACATCAGACCACTCCGAATGACTTCGTACATCTGAATGATTTAATTTTGGAAAAAAAAAAAAAAAAATTAAATTGGTGCAATTCCTCTTTAATGCCTCATGCAAACCACGTATGTGTCCTGCTGCTCCAGGCTGCGAGCTGACAAGCTGCCATGTTCCCAGCTGAGGTTAAATTCTAACAGTAGAGTGTATTAATAATTAAAGTTTGATTCCCTTTGGTTTGGAGCAAAACAGCAACTTATAGACATTTTATATATAGTTATCATTATTATTATTATTATTATTATAGATAGTTATTATTTTTCCTATTTTAAAGAAGCACCAAACAGAATGTAAATTGGATGTGGTTTTATAAGTCTGAGGCAACTTTTTTTTTTAACTAAAACACCAGGAACAAAAGCAGAAAGCGCTTTTATTAAGTTGCTTAATGAATCTTATGAATGGAACGTAATTTAGGTTTAGGTTTAGTTGTATGCAAAAGCTTGAATACCCCTGGTCAAATTATGTTTTGTCTGTTTTCCAAGATTTCCAACAAGTTAACACATTTTCTACAGTGAACAAACTAAACGTGCAATTTTTCTACAAATCTTTCTGCTCAATTTCTGTTTGTTTGAGTTGAACATATGGAACATTTTACATTTTCCAATAACTTTTGCACAGCCTACATTTTTATGTTTTTATTTTTTTCCCATATGTAAAAATCAGCAAATAAACAGTAATAGTGCATTAAAATGTGCAGACCAGAGGAAGTGTTAACTTATTTTTGCTTAGAAAATTGACAAAACCATGACTGCCCAGACTTTTGCACGCAACTGTGTTTGGTGTGTATGCTAGCTAGTTGTCCGGAGCACTAAGAGGCTTATTCTGATCGGTTAACTCATTTGAGCTTTTCTTGTCATGATCGAATATTCAAATAGTCGATTTGGCTGTTCAGAAATGTTAATATTTAATAGTGGCAGCAGTTAAAATGTCGATGTCTTATCAATGCATATTTTCCTGGAATAAGAATTTGATTCCCATTTTAGAGCTGTGTGATCCACTTGACTGGAAAAGCCTAAATGAGCCTTTCTTCAAGTTTTTGTTGGCAGTGCTCAGGTTCATTATTATTATTATTATTATTATTATTATTAGGGGTTAAACCAGCCAAGTTTTGGTATGATATCATTAAATTATGACAGCAGAGCCTTTGAAATGCATCAAGGTCTCTGTACCCATCATGCTTGCTTTTAGGTTCTAGCCACAGAGAGTTCAGCGTTCTGCACTGGCTTCTGACCTGTTCATTTACAGTAATGCTAATTCCATCCCTCCATTTTAGTACTGTTGTTAACATGCACTCACTAACAACCAGGGGCAGTGTATAGTATTGCACTTGTTTTTGTCTCTAGGCCAGCCTCACTGAGCTAAAACATTTAGTTTACCATACACTATATGGCCAAAACTATGTGGACACTTGACCATCACATCTAGGTATTGGAGTGTGTCTATGGGAATTTATGCCCATTCTGTCAAAAGAGCATTTGTAAGGCCGGGCAATGATGTAGAATGAAGGCCTGGCTCCCAATCGATCTTCCATTCCATCCCAGAAATGTTCAGTGAGTGGGGAAACCCAGCCCCAGACCATTATCCCTCCTCCACCAAACTTTACTGTGGCCACTATGCGTTCCGTTCGACAGTTTTCTCCTGGCACCTGCCAAAACCCAGATTCAGCCATCAGACTGCTAGATAGTGAGGTGTGACTTATCAGTCCACTCCAGTCCAGCGGTGGCATGCTTTACACCTTTCCAGCCAACGCTTGGCACTGCGCATATTGATCTTAAGCTTGGGTGCAGCTGCTCAGGCATGGAAGCCCATTTCATGAAGCTGCTGACGCTCAGTTCTTGTGGTAATGTTGCTTCCAGAGGCAGCATGGCACTCTGTAGTGAGTGAATCAACAGAAAATAATTGGAATTTTTATGCGCTGTGTGTTTCAGCACTCAGGGGCCTCACTCGAGAGAGGTCTGCGGCTTTGTGGCTGAGCTGGGCGATAAAATGATAACGATAATCATCGCAATATAACTTTCCTTGATAGAGCGATAAGAAATGTTTGATAAATTTTCGATATAACACACCATTCTCACACTTCCACGTTTTAGCGACAGCCCTGGTGGCGTTTTCTACTGCAAGGAAAGCGACACTACTCTGCTGTCGCCAGGAGAGGGCGCACTTCTGAGTTTTTCGATATGATTAGATGAGGGAGGGGCAGTTACGTGGAGTTATACATTCCCTGTTTGAGTGGAGCGATCGGGGATCTGTTCTGTGACCGAGTGTGAGTGACAAGGTCAGTGGTGTAACTGTACTGTCCTACAGTGAACTCACCTCTTTCCGTACATCCTAACCAGCTTTAGCAGCGTTAAATCATGTCTGCTCCTCGCAACTACAGTGCTGTTACAGCGCTTAGTCATATTTTAGTATTAGTGCATTCACAAGCAGCAAAAGTGAAAGAAAGAAGTGTTTTCATGTGAGTTAAGACCTGATTTAAAGTAAACTGAGGAAGCTGTGAGGCATTGGAGAGCGGGAGAGCGCTACCTTCCCAGGCTAGCTGTTTTTAGCAGCTGGCTAACTTGAAGCAGCTCCGTCACTCAAACGACACGGCAAATTGATGTTACTGTAGATCAAACGACACAAAAGCACTGCTTTCAGTTTAAACATATCTAAAAGGAGGACTCTGTTTGTCTGGTGTTGATATATTGCGGTTCACCCCTCAGATTACTATAGAGGAACCCAGTCGTCGCTAGCTGGTGTCTGAATACTGTGATATGCTCTGAGATGGATGTGGTCGGAGTGATGGCAGTAAGGTGGTGTGATTCATCACTCCAGTACCGAGTCAGCTAATGTTCGCTGTTCGTATTAAGTTGACCCTGTTGAGAAACTAAACAGTTTAGCTCTGTTGTTGGCCACTTGTTTAGCATTTGTAACGGGATAGCCGAGCGCTCGTCACCAGACAGCTAAAATAATGTTTTCTTTTTTAAATTATGACTGTTAAAATAATTGGAGCTGTGCTTTTCCAGCTGATAAAAACAGCTCACCAGACACTTTCTCCCACTCTCCCACGACAGATCTGTGAAATGTTCCCCTGTTTGGTGAGTGTTTGTCGCGTTCTGACCATAAAGGATAGTTTAAAACAGCAATGAACCACCCAGGAGCAAGAATCAGCCTTCAAACTCGAAAGAAATAATGATTTGACATTTATTGCGATGTGTATCGATATCAAACAATATGAATTGTGTTTATTGTGATAACATTTTTGGCCATATCGCCCAGCTCTATCCTAGACACTTCCATTTCACAGTAATAGCACTTACATTCAACCTGGGCAGATCTTTCAGCGATGTGTCATTGACAGCTCATCCATGTTAAGACTCTCGCATTTTGGCGAAGCGAACTAAAACACACAAATATGAGCAAAACTTTCATGTTTTACAGATCTGTTAAAACAAAATCTGCATTTCACTGAATTGGTTATTTATTATTTTTCTGTCTTGCTGTGATGAAATGCAGTGAATACCTGAATAATGACTGCAGTATTAGAATATTGGCACCTTGAACGCTGAACAGTTGAGTGCACA